ATATCGTATAAAATATGAAATTTTAAAAATATGCACTTTATTTCCGAGTAAAAAACTTGTTAATGAAACCAGATTTTTTACTTCCATTATATTTTATACTGTGAATATAAAAAAATGAAATATGATATGATATGATAACTCGATATTTTATTTCGTTTCGCGTCATTGCGATATTGGAACAGCTATTAATCCTCCTCGCTTGGATTACAAGCGTAATCTTTGTAATGAGAGAAATGCGCGTATGATTTGTATTGACTTGATCTCTGTGTTACGCCCACAGACCGCTCGGTCTAAATATAACGACGATTTTTCGCGGAAAACAATCGAGATGCTGCCATTCCGACATGACGATTCTGCGAGCCTTTTGCGAAATATCTTTGGATAAAGTTCCGAATAGGTGAACCCTCCGATTTTTTTGAAACTACACTATTTTTTGTATTTTTTAACGCTGATTACAAATATGATAATGAAAATTTGCGACAAGGTCATTTTCAAGGTCAAAACTCAAAAAAACTGAAAAAATATAACTTTTTAGACATTATTTCAATAAATATTGATGTAAGAAAAAAATGTGTCAAATAAAAGTTGTAGTTCTTGTAAAAATACATCATTTATGTTCTATACATTTTTTGCGTGAAACTGAAAGTTTTCGAGAAAATCGATGTTAAAGACTAAAAACGACGGGTGAAGTTCCGAAAAACTATACAAATAGGTTTGCGTGGAACTTCGCTCTGCGTGGAAAGTTGCAAACCCATGTGGAACCTGGCTTCGCGTGAAAAAGTGTATGCGTGGAAACAGTGGGTTCCGCCCCCCTGCGGGGGGCTCCACTACCGAAAAACTAGACAAATAGGTTTGCGTGGAACCTCGCTCTACGTGGAAAGTTGTAAACCCATGTGGAATCGTATATGTACTGCAAAGTACATGCTTAGATGGGAGAACAGATATAAGATTTAGATTCCATCGTTTTTGTTGAAAACTATCGTACGGTAAAAATTAATAGGACATAAAATGTTTTTCTCTGTAAGATCTAAAATTGTTATGGGTTTTTCATGATTTTCACTATGAAAATGAGAGATGCACCAATTTTCATTATGATATTCGTAATCAGTGCATCAAAATACGTAAGAATACTGAGTTTCAAAAAAAATCAGAGGTGAGCACTGTTCGGAACTTCACCCGCCGTTTTTAGTCTTTAACATCGATTTTCTCGAAAACTTTCAGTTTTACGCAAAAAATGTATAGAACATAAATGATGTATTTTTTTAAGAACTGCAACTTTTATTTGAAACATTTTTTTGTTACATCAATATTCTTTTTGCGCGTTTTATGTTATCCTAGTTAATCACTTATAAACCGATCCGCATATTTTATTTTAATATTATTAATTCAAAGAATACAATTAAACTTTGTTTATAAAAACTATAAACGTATGTAATTATGTAACTTAAATTATAACAAGTTACATAATCTCGTATTAATTCTTATAGATATATACGTAAAACCCGATTTTTGTGAAAAGCTAGCTCTTGATGAAAATTTTGACAAATCTCTGAGGAACATTGTTGTTTCTCGCGTACGCGTCGGTTGGGAAAAGATTCTGTTTTATTTTATTAACCGCTAACCGATTCTATTCTGTAAATTACGTTACGGTGCAATGCGTTATCGTGCGGCGATTATAAGAGAGCCATGTATATTGGTCGGTTAAAAAGCGCCATTACTTACACGTCTGGATGTGGACACTCGCGGCCTACGGTTCCTGCGCTGTCCAACGATGCAAAAATATAATGTAATCTGCCTGTAAGTCGAATACTCATGTCTCGCCTCGTGGGATCGAGGTTCAACGGAACCCCCCTTCCTTCCCCCCATCTATACCGTTTCTCTACATAACCCGACTCAATTATCGGCCCGCGCAGAATCGCGTCAGAGGCGAGAGCAACGCATATATATTGACGCATTTTATGTCTCTGTGTGGTCCGGTTGTCAATGCACCGCGAAATTTAAAATAAGAGAAAGAGAGAGGTCCCATGTGAGCTTAAATCCGGCCGGGTGCCCGTCGCCGTTACCGAATCGGGGCCAAGAGAGCAAAAGAATCGAGTCCCCTTTAAAATGTACCGGTGCAACTGGGTCTAATTTATGACGTCTTTACACGCCCTGGTGTTGCGTCGCGATTCCCCAGATTTTTCTCACGCGCGTAATCTCATTCGGTTTACCGAGGCGAAGATGAAGCAGAGATTAAGGATAAGCAAAGGTATTTTTATACGAACATGACGAACCCATCTTTTTCTCTCTTTGATGCAGGAAAAAAAATCCACGAAACGATAAAATATACAGGGTGTCCCAGGAAGAAAGGTCAATATTCTGGGAGGAGATGGTATCGGTTATTTTAAGCAAAAATGTTCATATGAACAAATGTTCTATTCCGAAAAAAAATTAAATAAAAAATAAATAATAAATAAAAAAATTTGTTATTTCAACAATAAATTAGAAACAGTCTCTTTCTTATCAATAATTTTACAACTGTACATTCAAACGGCTCTATCTTGGAAACCGTTTGAAATAGGATATTCGTTTATATGAACATTTTTGCTTAAAATGACCGATATCATCACCTCCCAGAATATTGACCTTTCCTCCATTAAGAAATTCTATATCATATACATGTAAATATTTCAAGATGATCATAAGAATACTAGATATGCAAATTGATTAAGCAGATACTGAGATATAAAATATAACATTTGTCTCTTGGGAATACAAATATTTACTTTCACCTTATTGAGGACGACTGGCAATCCTAGTTGAACCATTGCCATTACGCGATAGCTGCGGTGCGACCGACAGTGGATTCGTGTTCGCAAAATCAATTAAGTAGAATCCAAGAGAAAGAGACGGAGAGAATCCGTCCGGCTTTCTTTGATACAACACCGCTGATCTTGATTCACACTGGACATATCTGTTCCAAGAAAAAAGAACGAGATAGATCTCGGAACGTATCCATTCTCTCTCGCGGAGACCTTTCGAAATCCTTATGCAGGAAGAGAGAGACAGAGAGACAGAGAGAGAGAGAGAGAGAGAGAGAGAGAGAGAGAGAAGGAGAAAACGAGAGATACAAAGAGAAGAGTCTTAACGATCTCGGGATCCGGACGACTTTGGGGGCAAATTATCGGCCTATGGCCAATTACCAGGTGGAGGCGCCGATATATAGAGGAGAGCGGTTGCCGGAGAGTTCCGAGAATCGTCCTGGCAGCTAAAAATAAAATCCCACCCGGGAGCGGTGATTATGTTCCGAAAAAAAGAAGAACCGGACGAAACGCTCGCTCTCTTCGTATGTGCAGGTGGCGATGGGATGAGGAAGAAAGGCGGGAGATGAGGCGAGGATAGTACGATGATACCCGGACGAAGAGAGAGAAAGAATAAGAGAGGGGAATCGGGAGGGGACGAGAAGAAAGAGAGTGAGAAAGGAAGACCCCCCTCTCGTGGTGCGTTGGGGCTCCGGTTAATGAAGTTGTCGGTTGAGGACGTTTACAGGTGGGGTCTACCTGCGTGTGGTCCATTCACAGCGACTGCTGCAGGACTGGTTAAGAGTTGCTTTACATCTCAACCTGGTGTATGCATGCCGGGAGGGGGAGAGCGAAAAGGTGACGGGAGGTATATCGGTATATCCAAATGTGTACGTGTTCATCTTTTACGTTTATATAACGAGTGATCTCGCATTCTCGCCCAAACGATGTGCGTAAAGTCGAATTTTCGATTTCTCTCAAGTAAAATGGTATTTTCAAAGGCGTCATCTCTGTACGTCGTCCTGTTACGAATGTGAAATCGGCTTAATTGAAGGAAATAGAAATGGAAAAAGAAAGATAAATGCAGAGATTTTTCTTGAAAGGACTCAAAAAGTCACTCTTTTGTTGAGCGACCCGATTTCAACGCTAAAGCTGTAATTTATTACTTGAGACCCCACGGATGTGTACGAGGCACTCAATTCAGACCCATTCAGCTTTTTTAGAGGGCGTGTCTAAGAGAACGCCAATTTTATTTAACTAAGATATCTATTTTCGATGGCTCACGCACTTTTGTCACCAGAGAGAACCGGTTCTTGGAAATCACAACAGAAGTAAATACACTCCTTGATCGAAACCGTAATGAGCAAATAGTTCTTCAGTGCAAAGAATATGTAGATTATATTCAGGATAACTGAAATTATTTTCATGCTTTTGTTGCTTCGTTATCGTTTTAATTTAACTTCTTATGCTTATAGTAACTTTAATTAGCTATTCTGTTTTTTATCCAGAAAAAAATGAGTTTTATTGACACTTAATTAGTCGCGTATGAGTTTGAACTGATTCCACCTATCTTTTAAATATCACGTGCAAAATATATTTAATAAAACAAAATTATGTATAAATACAACTATAATATCTTTTTTTAATAATATGCTACATGAATATTAAATGTAATTAATCAAATGACATTATTTATAAAAAAAATGTTACTGTCCATCTTTCCCAATTTTTAGAGATATTAATTGCAATACCTATGATTCTATATCTATAATAGCCTTCCATAATAATAATCCGAAATATGATATAAACATAAATAAAATTTTATGACTTTAAATGTGCGCAGACAAAATCCATTTTTTTCGTTATCTATTAATCATTCCAATAATTCGGATAGGTGTATAGGAGTAAATAGTGCTCTTTCTGATATATTACATTTAAACACAAAATTTGTAAGGAACATAAAACGTTTCAGTTTAAACGGAGGTAGCATTTTTATCAATTTATATCGCTAAGATTTCAATTACGAGCAAGTGGATCTAAGAAACATTGCGTTCCATCTTCGTGTCACCAAAAATACAATCATTCTAAAATCTACAAATATAATAAAAAATTCCTTCGAAGAATCTGTAACATCTTCTTCTCATCTTTACACGCAATTAGAAAAGTAAAAATAGAAGGAAAACTTATTTTATTTTAAAAACTTCGGTTTTCTTTTTTCAGATGATGCATCGACAGCAAAACGCCCAATCGTCGTCATCCAACGACGAACTCACGATGTATCCGTCTGCCGCGTATCATTCTTCGTGTTCGACGCTACTTTCGTCGACGTCGACGCAGTCGTCGTCGTCGAGGTCGTCGTCCACGACCTGCCCGTTCTTGCTGTCCGTTCTCACGTGGTCGCTGACGTTCCTGCCTCAACGGCCATCCGCTGGGCAAAAGGTCATTCTTCGACATCCAGTGCAAGGGCGTGTATGACAAGAGTATCTTCGCCCGTCTGGACCGTATCTGCGAAGACTGCTACAACCTGTTCCGGGAACCGCAATTGCACATGCTCTGCAAGTACGTCTAATTATCCACGATAACGTTTCCATGAAATGATGATTGACAGACGAAATCCGCACGTGCTATTGTACCGTTGCTACGTGGCAATTTGGAATACAAGTCAATAAAAGATGAGCTCCATTCATGAGATTATCGACGTTTGCCACAATGCGAATCATAGAAACGCGATAATCTTAAGATGGAAAGAAATTTAAGATAAGGCTAAGAACTATATGATTTTCAGTCAGATATGACAAATATTTTTACGCTTTAAAATTAATTCGAATAAATAAATCTGGACAGATAAATGGTAAATGGTTAAATTTAAATGGTTTAATTTGGAACCGAGAAATCACTAAAAAGTGTTCTAGTCTGACAAAGAGTGTGTGTGTGTGTTGGAATAATAAAACTTGGATCATATAAAAAATTATTACAATTTCATATGAATAAAAAATTTCGTGATTATTCCTCATCATTCAAGAATATATTATCGCGAATTGGCGGTGAGTTATTATCTGACATTCGGATATTATAAAATTATCGTACAAATATTTACAGTTTATTCTTAGAGAGTCAATTTATCGATAGTCAAAGATTTTATTAATCTCTCTGTTACATTTTTTATCGTTAATTCATAAAATCGATTTGGAATACTCCTTTCTTTCATCATTTTCTAAAAATACTTCCCTCATGATTCCAGTGAAGACAAATTAGTTAATACATATTTTATGTTCAATCTCCGAAATTCCGAACGGTTGAATAAATATTAAAAAAAAAAAAAAAAAAAAAAATAGGTGTAGGTCTTCCAGAACGTTTTGCTTCTCATCTTGTATATAATATATAATATATAAGATTTATCTCACGGATTGAGATTTACAGAGATGAGTCTTCCGTGACAACGAGTCTTACGTAGGCAACGAAATATGAAATTTCGCAAAGGATTTCCAACGCATAATTTCTACCTTGAAAAAAATATCGATGATGAACAACGGCCAAGGTGGACGCACGAATGAATATATGTATATACCTTTATGCATACACGTGTTCCGCTCTCGGTCCGCCACACGCGCGCAAAGGCATACACGCGCGCGCGTACTACACCACATACGTCGGCACGCGTATCGAAATGGAATGAGATTTCTCTTCTATTTATAGCTCGTGCGAGCGAATGCCAACGTACATCCGTTGCTACCTGCCGTTTGTGCCGAGCCGCTTAACGGCCGGTCGTGTAAGAGCTATTGCACGACACGAGCGGGATCACAACGTGAAAAAAGGGGCGGATTGACGGGCTAGCTCGAATGCATTTACGGCATGTAGCGTTATGTATTCGGGAAAAATATGCTCTATCGAAAAAAATCAACGATGGCGAGAAAGAGCAGATGCATCGGTGAATAATCGGTTTAAATAATCTTGCCGGATAATCCGAACTTTTTCGCCAAATATATGAAAATGTCATGTCTAGATGCATTTCTGTTTTTTGAATTTCTTAGAGATAGAAATTAATATTGAGATTTTGGAATGTCGTTGACTTTTTATGCAAAAAGAAAACGCATTTAATATTAATGTAAAAACAAAATATTAAGTTATTATTAATACACTAATTGTATATAATGCTAATTTGTAGATATTTTAAGATTTGTATAAAATTTTAGGCAATTAGGCAATTTCTGATCGATGCACCTATCCTTTCACAATCCAATTGTATAACTATTGGAATGGATTTGTTAAGTGTTTGCGATATTACGTCTCCGGAATATTTTTCAGGATTTCCGATCTACGAGCTGCTACTTACGAAATCAACTTATACTATTGTATTATAATATAATTCATGTGTTTTTTTTTCTTTTTTAACTTTTCCCAGGAAGGAATGTTTTACTACGGACTACTTCAAAGGATGCTTAGACGTCCTGCTGCTGACGGACGAGGTCGGAAAGATCCAAATGTGGATCAAACAACTTCACGGAGCCGATCCGGGGGTTTAGGTAGCCTTTTTTCTTTGGTTTATGATTTTTTCGTTTATGCGCCCCTTTCTTTTATCCGCTTTTCGCAAATATAAAGAACTAACCGTGCCCGCTTGCTCTTCCACATTATCCTTCCTCATCTACTCTCGTCCCGATATACGCCTACTCGTCGGAAAAAGACAAAAATTGCGATTTGTTTGCATAATCTTTGCGCGAATTAACAGTATGTCTTGTAATATTTATAAAGTAAAATTTCGAAAAATAGGCGCGTTCTTTCTTTTTATTACACGGTACGTAATGACAAGTGTGTAAAAATTATGAATACGTAATTAAATGATTGAGTTTGGCTTCGTCAATCGCAGTGATGTTTGGATCGAAAATCGTATGTACAGAAGTTTCAAACAAACGATTGATAATAAGCGACAATATAAAATCGCAATTAAAAATCGAATAAAAACGCAATTATAACTAACTTGATCGCTGTTTTAATTAGAAAAATATCGAGCAAACGTATTTCAAATGTATTAGCAATTCAAGAAAGAAATTGAAAATGTTGCATGAGAAAAAATATCACGAATTGATTGAGTTTACAATTTATATTTCTTGTTTTAATTTTCCATTATTCCTTTTTGCCATTTCTTTCAATTATATTTTTGTTGCATTTTTTAACGCCATCCCCTGGACGAATACTCGCCCGTATTATAGTATCTTCGCACCGAGATAATGAGTATGAAAAATTAGGTAATTCTGCGCAATCTTATACTAGCGAGCAATGCTGCAATATAGAAAAGGATGAAACGTTATAATGATGCATTGAGAATTTATCACAATCGCAACTATGTATGAGCAAACTTTGCGTGTCTTCAAGAATTTCAGCGAATCAAAAGATACCATAAAGGTTTATAAATTTTGGGAAAATAACAAAATATAGATGTAACATTCATTTTATCATATACATTTATATATTTAATTTAATTTGACAAAAATGCAGCACTGCTAGCGATGTAATATACAGTATCATCTCATACATTCTGACTTTATATTATTCACCTCGACATGCATTTTTGCCATGGCGACGACGATTTTGGATTGTTTTTCGGCGGCGAGTTTACAAGCGAGTGTTTACACTTTTGATGCAACAATTTTTGCGACTCGTTGGTGTTGTTTTTGCAGCGTCGCTTTTTTCAGGATAATTGAAAGATGGCAGATCGACGTAAGAATACTTTTTTCTAGGTGATGATATCTATAACTTTGCAGTTTTTGATATTTTTGAATGTTTTTGCGCACTCTACTTGTGGTGTATAAATTCTTGATATTACGGAATGGAGTGCAAAACAATCGATATGCCTTTCCATACACACATGTCCCGATATTTATTTATGTACTAACAATTGCTAACTCACAGACCTGTTCATTTTTTTCGCTCGATAACATTATATATCACGGTATATATTACATGTAAAATTTACAAATTGTTTAAGTGCTATTTGCGAGTATCGTAGAATTCGAAAGAGTTCTTGTTCTGTCTTTTAAGATTTTATAAATAGAGATGTGATTAAGCACGTTAAGTATATCCTGAAGCTAAATCAACATAAATTCAATTAAAAAGTCTTGGTAATTCAAATTAAAAATCTTGATAATTAAATTAAAATTTTTTCTCACATTATCCAATTTTTGTCCGGCTCAGAAAATTCTATCGGAAAGATCTCCGAACAGGTTCGTGAATGCATCGCATCTGACATCGATAACATCGATGATTACTCTATATCCACCAATAGACTAATCAATCTTTCTATTTTCAATTTGTTCCCGCTACAGGCAAGACTGCTTCAGCACACAATACTTCACGAGCTGCATCCAAGCGCTGCTGCTGGAGGATGAGAAGGAAAGGTTGCAAGAGATGGTCGAGTACCTAGGTCGCAAGAAGTAAACGGGATATAGTCGAAGCAACGACGCGCCGCACCACGAAGGAGGAACACCACGCGGCATATACACGAATATATATGTAAGACCGACAAGTAGATCGACGGAAAACGCGGTATTCCTGTCTCGAAGGAGGAAAACGATGATTGGACCCTGATTTGTCGATCGTCGTCATTCTGCAAATTTTGAGGAGCCCGGAACTTTACGAGATTTAATGCGATGTCGTGTCACCTGTCAGAAGAACGTTCGAGAAAGATATCGCCCTCAAGATTTGGAAAACGATCTTCGAATTTCGGAGAGTTCATTGAAAGGTTCTGAGGAGTCCCATGTGCAGATTAATGGATGTCTGGACGATTTGGAGAACGACGCGATAATATTTATGACATTCATGAGGTATAAAAGGACTTGCGGAAGAAGATTTCTGATCGCATCTGAAACGTGCGATTCGTTTACCGATTCAATATGTGATTTTAGTGTCTAACTGTGAGTAGGAAGCTGGATATCGTTGTCGTTCTGTTAACATCGGCGAGTACGCGCGCGGTGCGATAAGAGTATAAAATGAGAGAATTCGTGGAAGAAAGATACGGCGATCTTTTGCGGTGAGTCGCGTCGTTGCTAGACACGATGAAGAACGAAGTTAAACAATAACATATTAAATAACGAGACACGAGAAGCGAGACGGTACGATTGAGCCATACACAAACAAGGAAACACACATACACATACACACAGAGCAAATCCATACGAATTCTAGTCGACAAAATATCTGCGCTCTCGCGCACTCGTTTTAATTCGATTAATCATTTATTATTAATCGTCGTCATTCATCACTATATGATTATTATTATGTCACGATTATATTTTTATCGTCATCCTTTATCCATTCGTTGTTTAATTAGATTGAGCCTTTAGTTTATATAGAGAACGTACGTGCGATAGACGAAGAGGATATTAATAGCTCGCTAAATTTTAAAATCTTTGTGTAAACAATTGCATACCGTAGGCATATTGATAGCACATCTCTAGACGTATAAAAAATAAAAATTAGCAAGAAGTAAACGCATGAATTTGGTCAGAATAAAATACAAGATTATTCTCCTTTTTTAAGTATTTTTCGCGAAGCAAGTATTAAAAAGAATAGATCGAAGACCCATTGGTCATTCAAATCGACCGCATTATTATTATTATTAATATTATTATGTCGTATAGTAGAATTATTGTTGTTATTATTGCAATTTATATCGCGACGTCTCCGCCCGGGTGAATGCACTGGCAGCACAGTGGAAGAGACACTGACAATGTCAACAATATTCAATTACGTGAGTCGAATGTGTGTGTGTGTGTGTGTGTGTATGTGTGCATGTATGTGCGTGCGTGTGTGTGCGTGTGCGTGCATATCGTACGCGTGCATATTCTCAAAAGCTTCGTTCGAGAGAGAAAGAGATAAAAAAAGTCTCCCTGTAATTTATTTTCTGAATACAAACGACATCACAAATGTTTTACAGTAGTCTCTTCTTTCGTGATAGTTAGGCGGATCGTGGACGGAGCCGGTCGTGCATAAAACGCGTAGTATTTATTTATTTTTTCACGTTCTTAAGTTATATAAGCGACCTATAAAACGAAGCAAAAGTATTAGCGCGCGTATCTAACCAAGAGCAACAGGCGCGGCGGGGAAACGGGCGCGTCCTCAAAGCCACGTCCAATTGGATGATTGCCCAAGTGTACGATGTGCAAAACAACCCCGGGGGAAAGTCGATCCGATCAGAGACTACTTATCTGCCACGAAGACAAGACGAGTACAAAAGAATGGTTTATACACATGGAGAATCAGTCGCTCGAGACCATCAAATGGACAAAATTTCGAGAAATATTGGCAGACTGTTAGTAGAATTACTAACTTACTTTGAAGGAATAAACTCTTTCAAACATTATTTCAAAAGTAAAAAAACTATACGTAGGGAAAAATAAGATTATAACTTAATTTGTACTATAAACAAATCAAGGAAGATATGGGGATTTTAATATTCTCCTAATCCCATTTCCGGATGAAAGGAAGAGAGAAGACACGACAAAGATTGACTAAGTTAAAATTAAAACTAATTGGCATTATAGCGAGACCAAGAAGCCTTCTTCTGTGCACGTCTGCACTCTGCGCACTCTCGATTTTTAAAATATACGTCACGAAAATCCCGCCGTGCTCTACAATATCATCGCCACTCCGATCGAGAGAGAATGACGAACCATTCCAAAATCAGTATTGAAATCATTCCATCTTTGCGATCTTCAGGTCCGGCTTCGAGAACTCGCATACATTGAGACAAAGCTCAGATTTATATAAGTACTCTATTATCTATATTTTTTACATTTATTTATTTGCTTTTTTTTTACATTCGTGTGTTGCGTATTGCAAGCAAATTTATATGTTATTTATGCCAAGAGAAAAGCAAATTCGAAAAATACATTAATTATTTAGCGTGTTATTTCAATAACATCATACTTAACTTTTTTACAGCCTTTACACTATTTGTTGAAAATATACGACATATATAAATCGTGCAATTTTGATTTGTATACTCTGAAGTGCTTGCTCCGAAGTCGATCTGAACCTCAGGTATATCTAAGAATCAGCATTCTTATTTATGCAATGTAAATACATTGTTCAAATGACGCAATGCGCACAACAGCATCGACAGGTGCGAATCTTTAAAATTTCGTCATATATAAAATGTCATAATTATATTAATATATTTATAAAATTGAAAGAATATAACATCTCTCGTATGATACTTTCGCATATCTTTTGTAGAAATATTTTTTACCTTTTTTCATATTTATCTCTTATTGTATCTCGACAGAAATACTTATATATTTTCTTATATATATATATATATCATATATTTTTAAAATCTCAAAGTAAAGTGAGAAGTTTCTAGGAGGAAGGATCGCGAAACGAACGTTGACCGAACGTTGAAAATTCGTGATTCGTTTGAGAGTGTTAATCCACCGCTTCGCGAGACGCATCGCGCGTAACGAGCGCTTCCCGTTTCGTACCTGTCGATGCGAGTATGTAAAAATTGCAATCACGCGCGCGATTCGCGTCCTTTGTCGATGCGCGCGGGAAAGCTGCGAACGTGCGTGCACGTCTGCGGATACGTTTCCTTCTAGTTGTTCTGCTTTTTTTTTCTTTCCTTCCGGTACCAGAGGACGCGTAACACGTAACAAGTGAACAGACGATACACTTTTACGAAACACGACTTTCGCTAGATAATTTTTCTTTTTTTTATTCACTTGTGTAAATGATGACACGCGCGCGTGCGTGCGTTTAGATGTTGATTATCTATACACGTGCGATACAACGACATACACACATATTAAGATATACAGGCAGGTATGCATGTACATGTAGTACACGCTAGTCCGGAAAATATAGAAAATACTCATACACACGTATACTCAGATATACATATATACGCGCAACTGTTAAATTCGAGCATACGAGAATGAAGATGAGAAAGGGCTGAGGAATCGTATCCTATCCACAATTAATGTAAAATTATATTATATATACATATAATATATAAAATGTGTGTGTAATGTATACACGCGCATTTCGTATATGCATTTCGAGGAAGCGTATAACGCGCGATATTGTATGTATATGAACAGATGTGTACATATAAGTACAATTAACGACACGGATATCTAAGTCTATTCTTGTTTTGCGTGAATAAACGGGTGAATCAAAAGTCATTATAACAGTTGTCTATTTTACTGTAAACATTATGTTTCCTCT